GAAGCTGTAAATCTTTATGGATAGTGTACATTTATTTTTGTACTTAGTACATGTCAAACACTAGGCTTAGTGTTTCACAGGCATTGGGTCCTTTAATAGTTACTACAATCGAGTTATTTAGCTTGTATTATTGGTGATTATTTCCCAGGTAATAATCTCAAGAACGATGATGGTGGTGGATATGTACCATGGAGGGGGTTAGACTCAGAGTGACCCTGTATAGGATTTCTGAAGCTGTAAATCTTAACAGGAGCAGAAAGCTTTATCTTTTTCCTGTAGAACAGCTGGTAATTTTGAACCATTGACCTTGAGGTTAGCAATCTGACTCATAACCAGTACACTACCAGAACTCCTCAGTCTCAAGTATAAGAAAGATAAATGATTTACCCAAGTTCCATTCCTAAGAAATAGTGGAGAAATGAATGGGGATCAATCTTGACTCCAGGCCTCATCATCATTGAATGATCCTTCCTCCGTCTTCATAAAGGAGACTACAGCCCAGTTCTAATTGGGTTCCTAATTATTTTATTTGCTTGTGAGTGATAAATAAATTGAGCTACACTCCCTCCCCTTTTGTATTTTAAAATAGTGTGATCTAACAATATTTCATTGTGAACATCAACAGTTTCTTAAGTTTTCCTTACTGCACTGATTTGATAGATGTATTACCTTGAAAATTTAACTTAACCTGTATTTACCCTGTTTTTTACATTTGGAAACACAATGCTTTCCCTATGTCCCAAAGGAGTAATTGTAAGACCCCCAATAACATAATCTTCAGCTTTGAAGATGGAAATGAACACACTAAGCAGAAACTAATTTACTTGCTCTGGCACTTAACAACAACAACAACAACAACAACAATGATTTATTTCCCAGGATTTAGGCACTGGTGAGCCACCTTACCACATAAGCAATAAACTCAGCTTTGTCAAACGTTTGAGAAATCTGTTTCCAACAAAGCCTAAATCCTTTTTATGACCTTAAGAATTTCTTACAACTGCAAAAACCCTATATAAATACAGATATTATAATTTACAGAATTACTAATATAGCTGACATTTTCAATTAGTATATACATACTATTGTTGCTGTTGGTAAGTGCTGTTGAGTGGCTTCTGACTCACAGGGACCCTATATAGGGTTCCTAAGGAGTATATGCTGAGTTTGAACTGCCGACTTTGTGGTTCAAACCGACGTTTCGGTGCGGCACTTATCCTACAGTGCCATACTAAAACTTCACAGAAGGACTTACTAAACAATTAAATGCAACTTATGTATATATATTGAAACTCATATAGGAATTTGCATGGTTATTCTTTCACAATTAAAACAGTTAAATCTGCTATGAATAAAGGGGAGTCTTACCTTTTCCAGTTTTGAAAGAGCAAGAGAGTAGCAGTCTTTGGCTCTGAATTGCATGAATCTCATGTTGGCTGGATGAGTAAGTTCTGTGATAATACTGAGACTGGAAAACAACCTACATTTCAAAGAAAACCTTTGCATTACATTAACAATCCAACATTGGTATTTTCTTATAACAACATATTTATAAGTGAGTGCTTCCTACCTTAGGAATAAAATTACATGCAATTACAAGAGCAGGCAGTGCCATATAAAGCATTCTGTACAATACAAGAAAAGTGAAATACTAGTCTCCAAAGTATATTTCAACCAACATTTTAGCACAGTAAGAAAAATAAATTTAGCAGTTTGGCTTTTATTAGAAAATTTCTCCCTAAAACTATTAAACAGAAAAGAAATTGAAAGTTGATTCTAGAAGTTACAAGGTTACTTTGGACAATAATGAATGGCCCCTTAAAAGATAAATATTCCTATTGACATATCTCACATCATGAGCTTATTGCCCATTCTGTGATCTGTTCAATCTGTGATTTCCTATTCTTAGCATGTAATTTCTAAATGTCAGATCTGGAGAGAATGTATTTTTAAAAAAAAAATTGTTTTATTGTGAATTATGTGAGAGTTTACATCGGAGAACATTAGCTTTACATTCATCCTATTGTATATCATTTTATTGCCATGGTTACAATCCCTTCCATGCATCATCAACCAACCAAAGGGTATACCCTGCAAGCCTGCTCCACCACCTCCCTCACCCCCCTGGTCTTCAGCACACAGCCCCTCTCC